GTACAATATGAGTCATACAAACCCTTCTAACCCAAACCATTAGTTAATCAATTAGAACTAACATCCCATCACACGTGGCTTTCAGAGCTCAGATGGCAGCTACCGATCGGATACAATAACTGTCCTTCAAAAAAATGCCCTAAAATTTCAAAAATATATAACACTCAGATGAATAAAAGGAAAGGCTTATTGATTGTAAGAAATACCATATAATTCGAAATACATTTATAGAAACCGCTCAAACAATAAATTAATCTGTGCTCAAAACGCATCTAAAAAACTTAACTCAAAAACGACTATATAGGTCTTAGCATTGTAGACACTTTGTTATATTTATGACAAATGATGTGTATACATCTAATGATGTGTATACACTATATATTCCATCGTATGGCATGCAAAAAGCATTTTTTCAATGTAATTTATCATAAAGAAAATGCTCATGCGGTATATGATGAGCCCTACTTAAATTTTGACCACACTGAGATAAGGATTACTACAATAAGTTTTTTTTTTTTTTGTGATTCATTGCAAACAATTCTACAATTCCTTTAGATAGATTCCTAAAAATCTTTCTAAGAATCTAAAATTGACATTTGTCTGTACATTTCCAAACAAAGTAGAAAAAAGTTCAAAAGCTGCAGTAGCATTGTGCTACTACTCTTGAGCTCCAAGACTTAAACACCAAATTTCTAGTATATTCCTTGACAATAGAAGTACATTCGATCATAGCAGAAAACTTTTTCTCTGAAGAAGTAATGAAAGCACTTGAAGTTATTGGAAAAATACACCAAATATTTACATTTAATTAAAATTACTGGAAAAATTTTTAAGTACGATTATTTTTAATCACAATCCGAAGTAGCTGAACTGATAAAACAAACCCCAAATTCTGACGAGTAGTACTTGTAGTTCTCGTAGTTTTGAGGAAAAGTTTAATTCGTACGATAACAAAAACGGATAATGAAAGTACTTAAGAGCAAAACCATCACCAAAAACGTGATGCGAACTAAAAAAAAATTTGTTTTTTGATAAGTGTACGAAAAATTTAGTTTTATGTATCTCAGCATCGAATTATGAAATAACCGCATTGTAGCAGTAAAAAAATTTGAATCGCCCTCAAAGAGAAAACAAAAAAGAAAGCAGCCAAAACGGCGAAAATAGCGAAGACCGCGAAGACAGCGAAGACAGCAATAAAATGAACCTACCTTAACCTGATTTTGCTTTACGGGTATTAAGTCAAAGTAGCGTACAATAGATTACGCAAATATGCGATCGAACACATTTCGATCGACAAAATCGTACGTAATTATCTGCCTCAAATCATTGACAGCACGAAAATGAGCGTGCGACGAGTATTGCCCTATAACCGGAAATTACGACACTTGCTTTGGATGAATAGTGCAACGAATGATAATTGTTCATTACGAAGAGTAACATTACGAAAACTATAAAGAGGCTATAAAGAATACAGAAGCATGTGATCGAATAAAGATAAACTCTAAACTGGCAAAAATACCTGCTAAGAATTGCCAATAACGATTATTGTTATATTATAAAAATATAGGTGAAATCTCAACTAGTAAAAGCATTGATGGTATTTACAAACTCTGCACCACTCTCTACCTAACCAAATTATGACACTACGTAATATACCATTTATAATTAGAAAAAATTCATATAATAATTAACTCAAAAGTTAATTAAACTCAAAAAAAATATAACTATAAGTATATCAACACTCGTTGCTTCACAAAACGAATCCTTATTAACGAATCGTTGAATAGTAGAAAATATAACTTACTTTCCAGCTTACTAAGGAAAAGTTTTGATAAATTAATAATTAACATACATATGTTGGTTGATTAATTGATTTATAAAAATAATTATAACTCACTCGCTACTTTTATGAAAAAAAGGAAAAAAATAACTCGTTCTTTTTAGCAATAACTGTTGCAATGTTATCTCATTTCTCTTTTTAAAGAAATTAATATTAACTTAAACATTGTTTCACTCGTTAGTAAAAACCAACTCGTTAGTTTTGTTGTAAAATAGTACTACTCGTATATCGTCAGTTGATTGAAGTGCTGTATAAAATTTTGTAATAGTACGATTCGTTACATTAATGGACAAAGAATTACAACAAAATCATTCGTTATTTGCATATTTATAAGCATTTTCTTTCAAATCCCTCCTGGCTACTAAGCAAAAATTTTTAACATATAATCCGAATCATGTACCATATCTTTTGAAGTAAAATATTAAGTGAATGGCACTTATTTTTTTATATTTTTCTATAGAACATGCTCTAACGGTACTGGTGTTGGTAATATTGTGTAATATGTATGCAATAACTAGTAGGTACTTAAATTATTTTTAATTAAAATAAAGTTTTAATTAATTAAATGAAATATCGGTTGTTAGTTAGAAGAGCACTTAAGTCAAGGTTAAACTCGTATCAAGCAATAATCATATAAAAATGTATTATTTTAGCATTTTTAAAATTTCATAATTCCAAGGAATCTTTAAATCATAAGATTTTATCTTTAGAAAACAAGACCATGTTAAGATAATTAATTTTCGTGAAATCGGAATATAATTAGACAGATACTTGAAAATAAGTGTTACAGTTTGTCTATCACGTAACTTCTAGTGCGTACCTGCTTATCTAGCAAATCAAATTTTTCAAAAAAGTCGAGAAACATTTAGTTAAGTATCTGCTTTTTGTAATTTGATAAGCGAGCTACTTGAATCATCATCAGATATTGCTGTGATCTTGTAAAATCACACAGAAATGGATATGACTTTAATTATAGTGCAGTTGAAGACACAGCTTATACCATAAGCGTATGAAGTGGAATCTCTCTCTTATTCGTTCAAAAAGTGTTAAGAAGGTTTAAGTTGTTCCAAAAAATTTGCTTCTGATAAAATAATTTGTTTCTACAAGAATTGCTCACTCAAAAAGGGGGTGTCTATATGATCGACAGGGGTATCCACCACTGTGTTGGGTCTTATTGCAAAATCCCTTTATATTCATTTCTATTTCTAAAATATTTGTTGAATAGTTTCTTATTCCATAACACGAAAACATAATTCGTTAATAGGACATTTTTGAAAGTTGAAAATTCGATGTATTGGACGTAGATTTCTCTATTCAATTTCTTATTGAAATTCAATCAAAATTGTGTTAATTTCATAAAAAATTGTGTCCATAGATAATAAGGGATTTTGTGATCATATACGTTAAATAATAACAAATCTTAAAAAAGAGTGAAACCAGAGTTATCAGGCTTATTATTTTTCACCCATTAATATTTTTGCAATAACTTACAATATGTTAACTATTTTTTTGTTATGATAAACCATTTTTCTAAAATTGTAGTCGGTAACAATATAAAGTATAGATTAGTTGCAATAGGCATTCAATTCAAATTTTATTAATCGCCGCAGCGATCAGGGTTTTTTGATTCTCCCTTGAAAACGTAGGCAAAATCTTTTTTTACATATTTCCTAGTATCAGTCGAGCTCATCTGCTATAACCAGCTCATCCGCCGACTACTCTTATACGCCTTATCCATATGATCTGCAATCGGTTCTGCTTAAATGGAGAACTTCAAATCGAAAACAATTCATAATTTTAAGTGTATCGTCCTTTGGATTGCACTATCAACAAACGCAAGCCTGACGGTATGTATTTCCCCATCCTCTTACTTTACAATAAAGTTCAGATTGCTCGCATCGACGAGTATTTTCTTACGCTCACTCCTTAGTACCTCACCCAGCTGCATAACCCACACTCCGACGTTTCAACTCCTAACACCTTTCACTATGACTTCTTGCTAGCCATTACTCACAAGACCCCCCATAACTCACCTTACCTTTTAAAGAGACACAGACAGTCAGATATTTTTATTGCTCCTCTCTATAACTGTAGCTTTTATTCAGTCTACAACTAACCAGAGTCTACAACTAATCAGCCCCCCATGCTTGCGCAACAGCTGAAGCCTTCTGCCTTACTTCCACAGCTGAAGCCTTCTGCCTAACTCAGACTTCTAACTACTAAGCCTCTTTATCTCAACACTCTCCCCCTAATTACTGGGAATGATTTTCGCACACTGCCCTCCGATACAGTTTCCCGGATTAAAGTAGTTATTCCCTAGTGTCTAACTTAAGCTCTTAACACGCAGTGTCTATCTATGCTTATTAATAATAACAACTAACAGGCTATTGACTATTAAATCTCTTCCTTGCCGCCAATACAAAAAATATGCACAGATGTCTTTTACATAAAGCGACTTCCCTATCGAAACCTCTCCTCTCACATCCATATCCATATTACCAACCATATGAAATTGTTTTTCCATTTTTTTAATTATGTTTAACTATTTTTTTTTTTCGTTTTTTGTGTGCATGTGTGTGTTTGCGTGCGTAACATTAAGCAAATTTATTAATGAAAGTGTAAAATTTTAATAACGAATATACACCACACAAAATAATATCAACAACAACAACAACAACAACAACTAGAAGAAATCAGCTGCACTCTATGCGCCCACAAATAACAGCTGTAAAATATTGTTTTAATTGTGTTGTTGTTGCTGTTGCTGTTATTGTTGTTGTTATAGCTTAGGCAATTCTGGCTGTTGGGTTTGTTGTTGTACTTCAATTTTGATTGTTGACAAAAATTATTTTTGTTTTTCTTGCTTTTCTTAAACAGAAAAAAACAAAACAACTCAAAGAGCACCAAACTTGCCAATGATGTATGGTTGGAAGAGCGACATGAAAACAGTTTAAGAGCGCAAAGGCAAGAGTGAATGGCGTAAATGTGCTCATGAATAATTTGTTGTAGTTTCTAAATGAATACTTTATTGACCTTTTTTATTACAAACTCAATAAAATCAAAATAAATTTCAATAAAAATAATTTATTTTTTTAAAAAAATTCAATTAATAAGATAAATAAATTAATAAAATAAAAAAGAAAGAAGAAAAAATACTTACAATTATATTTCTGTTTTTTATTTGTTATTAAATTTAATACAGTTGTTGTTGGTATTTGGTTGCATTTGTGTTGTGAAACAAAAATGAATTTATAAATATTTATGTTGCTACTGCACTGCTACTGCCGCTGCTGCTGCCGTTGCTGCTGCTGCTGCTGCTGCTGTTGTTACTCGCGGCTTTCAGACAAGCACATGCTGAGGCTGTCTTGCATGCTTTTCGTTTCTTGTGTTTTGGTTTCTCTTATTTTTATTTTTATTTTGTTTTTATTTTTATACTTTTGTTTGTTTTTTCTTTGAGTCAAGTTTTTGTATTTGTATTACGTTGTTTTTGTTTTTGTTTTTGTTTTTATTCGTATTTTTGTGTTTGTGTTGTTGTTCACGTTGTCGTTTTATGTCTTATTTGTTGATGCTTGGATTTGGTTTTGTTCAAGCTTAGCTTTCCTACTTCAATATCTCTGTTTATTGTTCTTCTTGTTGTTGTTTTTTCGTTATAATAAATTTTTGTGTTTTGCATTTCACATTATGGAGGCACTAATTAACACCATCAACGGCAAGAGAAGAAAATAAAATAATATAAAAATTAAATAAATAAATTTCAAAAATTATTTTATGCAAAAATCAAAAAAATTTCTCATTTCTTATATCTTGTATCTTGCATGGTTTAAATTGTTGTTATTGTTATCCGGCTGCAGTTATTGTTTTTATGGTAGTAGTAGTTGTTGTTGTCACTGTTGCAGCATTAAGCACGAACAGCAACAACACTGCACAGCACACGGTCTATTTTGACAATTGGAATGCAGAGTAAATGCAGTAAGGCAATCTGACCAACCACATTTGCCAAAAATCATAACAACAACAACAACAGCGAACAAACAGTTACAAAATGTGTTTGAAAAGCAAAAAAAAAAACAAAAAAAAACGACACTGAAGAAGAAAATTTATGTAGAAAAATAAAAATAGTTTAATACGAAACCAAGTAAAATTCTTATTAGATTTAAAAAGAAAAATCTAATTGGAAAATGTACTCATGAGCATAACTGGCACAGCAGCTGATTTTTGTTTAACACGCGCTTCTCTTCCCCGCCCGCTGGCAATAAAGTAACTTGTTTACGAAACTCATTAGTGCTGTTTTTATATACAATTTTAATTTGTTTGGATTTTTGCAATTTTTAATTTTTTATGAATTTCTTAAATTATTTAGTTAAACATTTTAATTTTCAAGCAACAACCAAGCACATACCGCAATTTCAACATTTTTATTAAACAAATATGCGTTAATTAAATTTTTTTAAAATTAACTGAAAAATCGGTTTACCGACACTTTTATATCTTTTACAAAAATATTTTAATTTTTTATTTTAAAAAGTTTACGCGCTTTACCCTACGAAGAATCAGGCAAGTTCTGTGGATGATGTTTCACTCGTTACAACAATGCGTCAAAAAAAATTTGGTAACACCAACCACTCCAAACGAACGTAAAAAACAGACTGAGTCCATTGCTCGAGTGAATCGTTTATATTCTGGCTGCTCTCGTGATGACGGAATGAATGAACAGTCGGAGTGAATTTGTTTACCTCAATCGACACACAAACATCCACATGCGTGAGTAGCACGAGAACTGTGTAAGTGACTGAGTCTAGTTGGATTTTGTGTAATTGCTGTGTATTAGCACAACTTACTTTTGACAATCCAAAGATTCAATCGCTTTAATCAATAAACCGCAGTTTCTCGAAATATTTTACATGAAACGCAACTACTTTATATTGTTAAAAAAGTTTTACTTAGAAAAGTAAAACTAACAAGTGGAACTAATCGTCGCAGTGTTGGTGTTGGTAACTCTAGTAAATTCTTCTAATCAATTTAAAGTTGCCCATATGTGTAAATAGACAAACATGTATATAGATAACGCACTTTGATCTTTCAATAATTAACGTGACTTATTTATATGATATTACTAATATCACCAATATAATAGGGGTATTCAGGGAACTGATTAGTTGCTTAGTTAATTAAGAAACTTCATGTAAAAAAAAATAGCATTTTGATGTTAATCAGTTGCCTGAACGACCCAAAATGCGTAATCTGATTAATTTGCTGTGTGCAAATGCCTTGGCAGCACTCGTATCAACAACAAGAGCGAAACATATGTTAACAGTGAAATACTCAAATATTCGTAAATTTTAATATCATTTAAATTTATCATATAACTAAAATTGCAAACATATCATACATCAAGAAGTAGAATATTCAATTTTATACTTTTTAATTATATTTTAACCCGTTAAAAACTATAATTTTATTGAATTTTATTTATTAATTTATGTTGTTATTTTTGCGTTTTCTTTTTAAGATACCCTATGCTCATAGCGCCGACACTTGGTACTGGCAGCACTATTAATCAAATTTTCACTAATCTGAGAATCTCCGAGATAGTAGATTCTCTGCTTAGTTTCTTTCTGTATGCAAATTTTTGTTGTAATCAACTACTAAGCAACTAATCAGTTGCTTGAATACCCCTATTATATAGACATATTGGAAATCGAAAGAAAACGGATAATAATAAGATGTATTTGTTAAACACTTTAGTATTAAATGTGAAATCAAATCAATCGGTTATTAAATCAGTAAATTTAATTTACTCAAGCGATTCGTGAGGTCTAAATCTTAGCCAAGATCTAAATCTTGACTAATAAAACGACAGTTTAATATAAAAAAAAGTGACCTCACCGTCTCATTGCTTGACAACGATTTAACAGAAAATTTTATATTAAATTAAAATTTTAGAATTTCCATCGTGACATCAAAACCACTGTGTGAGACTTGAATCCGCTAAGACCAACGTTTACTGCAAAATGGACACATTTTAGCTGAAACCCATTTCAATAATCAAAGCAAGAGCAGACATTCGAGTATAGTAGATTTAGTATTTAGAATACAAATATATTCGTATCTAAGTATCTAATATAGTCGTATCTAGAAACTAGTAAGGAAAAGAAGCGAAGTAGTAGTTACTCACTAAGAGTAAACTCTGTGCAAGTAGTCGTTGTCGACATGATTGTAGAGCGGAATTATAGAAAAGACACAGATGATGTTGTCCAGATATAGAGCCAGGAATTGAGGAGGCTTGTAGTTCATATTATTAAGCTGGTCTATGGAAAATTAAGCAGTGTGAAGATTATCAGGGAGAAGACTGTGACGCTTGGTAAAATACCTTCGTCTTATAGATAACGAAAAATTACCTAATCGTTCGATGTTAGAAAACTTTTTGATATCGATGTTGGGAAAATGTCTACGCAGACCCGCTGGCAGTCTACGATGGTCTAAGAAAACTAATAAAAGTTACAGAGCTAATCGTCTCTTGTGGTTTTCTGTTTCTATTTATAACAAAACGATTCACCTTTATAAGTTACTGGTAGATACTGGTAGATATCAGCGGTAGTAAATTTCACAAGCGAACATCGTTCACTTAGGTCGTTTACGCGCGTATTGTCTTCCAGTCATAATTTTAATAGGCATGCTTAGTGCAGCAAAGCAATCTATTTCAAACCCGAAAGCGATCTTCTTTTTTTTAATAAAACAAGCAATATTTTCAATTCGTGTATCCCAATACCAGACAGTCATTTGAGATAGAGAGAAACTAAAGTAGTGACCCTCCCTGTTGAGTAGTGCCAGAACAGATAAGTAACACTTCCCTGTCTTTCTTTAAGGTCACAGTAGTCATCGTAAAAAATCTTAAACTTATAGGCAAACCTGCGTATAAGACAATTTGTCTATAGGAAGGTATTTTTATTGGACAATGAGGTGCGAGGAAAACCTCACTGTGGTGTTCTTTGTTAATTGAAAGCGGATCATGTCGTACATTTGGTTTAACATGTGTGCTCTTCGTACCATTTTCTAGAATTATGCTTATGACTTGGAATCGACTTCAGATTAACCAATACACGACAATAGATGTCGTGAAAACACACACTTTTTTGAAACGAACTATTTAATATATAATATATATAATAATATACTTAATTACAATTTAAACACATTTGTAATCTCTTCATTTAAATTAATTAGTTTGATAATACGCATTCAGGTTTTAATTTTAATTTTCCTTATTCAGTACGTGATACTTTCCCCCAATTAAATGTGGATCGAATGGAGCACAATTCAAATTATTGCGGGTCTCTTTGTAATCAAGTGTTAGATCTACTAAATTAGAGTCCACAAAAAGTGAGTTGCCAACGCTTTTATTTTAATTTCATTCAACAAAAAGCACTGCGCACATCGAGGTTCAATCGCATTTACAAAATAAAAACGATTAATAATAATAGAAATCTAAATAAAGTCTTAACTTTGACTACTGCACTGACGTTAGCGTTATATGACGTTCATTTTATAAGAAAATGAACACTTTTTTACCAGGCCTTGCAATATGAAGTCTGAAATTAGTGGTAAAGATCCATTATATTTTAATGGCAAAATATATAATGTACAATAAGTAACAATATTTTATAAATTATTTTATAATTTAGCAGTATTTTCTGCACGAAAAAAAAATAATAATTCTCTTAAGGTTTGAATTTGAAAACGTTAATATATGTCTCACAAAAAACGTGAAGAATAAGCAATGCTGTAAGTTAGCTAAAGTTTGATATTTTGGATAATGTATAATAATGAGTAATGCTGGATAATTTTGAATAATACAGTTACCCCCTAATAGGGGTATTCAGGAAACTGATTAGTTGCTTAGTAGTTGATTACAACAAAAATTTGCACACAAAAATGAAACTAAGCAGAGAATCAACTATTTCGGTGATTCTCAGATTAGTACAAATTTGAATAATAGTGCTGCCAGTACCAAGTGTCGTAATAATAACTTAAAATGAACTTTAGTATAGAAATTTGTTAGCTGTCTCTCTCAGCTGATTGAATTGTGTGTAAGCAATTTTCACTGTTAACGTATGTTTCGCTCTTGTTGTTGATACGAGTGCTGCCAAGGCATTTGCACACAACAAATTAATCAGATTACGCATTTTGGGTCGTTCAAGC